AAGAGGAGGAGGACAGAAGGAATCTGGGACTAAGGAAGAGCCCAGGAGGACCAAGGAGACAGAGTGGAAAGGACACACAAGGGCAGTGCACATCATGGGACCACATCACCCTCAAAGACCAAAACAAAAGCTCCAAGAGCCTAGGACCAGGGGTGCCCACCCTGCTCCCAGGTACACTTAGCACTGCCAGCAAAAGGCAGACAGCAAAAGGTTCCATTAGGTCTAAGGGTCGCCAACCCAACAGGACTCCCACTCACTTGGCCACGGCCAGGAGCACGTGAGGGTCATGCTCACACTTCTTCAGGGCGTCCACACTCTTGGTCTTCCTCTGGGGCCTGGCCTCAAGGAACACAGCTTCGGACCACAGGATACCTGAAGTTCAAAAACAAAGAACTGGAGGGCCGGGGATAGAGCTCAGCAGCCTGCCTGGCAAGTGCAAGGTCCTGAGTTCATTTCCCAGTACCAAAAATAAAAAAAAAGAAATAAAGACCTAGAACTCAACCTCACCTCTGGACTCAGAAACATGCCCACCCTACAAAGGATACCCTGAAAGAGGCCTGCTTAGGGGCAGCCCAAAGGCCCCAAGTTCCCACCTACCAGCTGCCTCCAGTCTGAATACAGACCAGAAAATGTTCTAGGGTGACACACAAGCATTAACAACCTTCAAGCTTTCATTCCCACTGACACAGTAACTGCATATCTACGAAATTATTGTAACAGAACAGAATACTAATAAAGATTCACATAAAAAACAGTGATGTCAAAGCAGTATCAGATTAAACTGGAAATAACAAAAAAGGGAAGAAATGGAGAAAATTTTAAAGTCTTAATAAACAGCCAGAGGGTATGTTGTTGCTGATATATATATATAAAGCCATTGGAAATGTACATTCCTGAATATTTAATAAGAATCAAAAGTCATCACTAAAGGTTCAGCTTTTAAAAAAGGTAAACCGGGTTTGGGGTGTAGCTCAATGACAAAGCACTTGCCTAGGACACACAAAGTCTATATTCAATTCTCAGCTCTACAAAAACAAACAAAAAAGGTAAAACACCAAGCTGAGCATGGTGGCACATGCCTATAATCCTAGCACGCTGGGAAGCTGAGACAGGAGGATTCAAGCCCAGCCTGGGCAGCTCAGTGAGCCCCTATCTCAAAAAAATGCACTAGGAATGCAGCTCAATGCAAAGGCTATGGGTTCAATCCCTGGTATAAGGGAAGGCGGGAGCAAAACACCAAATACACACTATGACTTTAACTGTGTAGAAGAATATAGGTTGTAACACTACAAACAGTAGAAGGAATCTGTGAGTACTGGGCCAAACACTATTTCTATTTCCTCTTTTCAACTCCAAATTTCTTTTTGCTGCATATACATTCCTTAGATGCCTGGGATAAAATAATAAAGTTAAATCTTGAAAGAAAAAGAAATGGCAGCACTTCAAAATATGAACTAAAACTCTCAGCTGAGACTGGGAATTCAGTCCAACTGTCTTAATGACCAAGTACAGTGAAACTTAACTGAAATGGGTCCACACACACCCTAACGGTCTATTAGAAGGCAAGTCCCACTCTCTTGGAAAATGCCACCCCTCACTGCAGTCCAGGGCGCCCTTACCAGAGTTAGGGCACTCCTGCAATGCCTTCGCCATGAGTGTGTTGGCAATGTTCTTCAGCCCTGCACGGTACTCCAGCCGCACGGACTCCAACCTAGGGAGACAGGCCTGTGGACATCCAACCACCCACTGACATACCCAAGGTCCCTGTCGGAAAGCTCTGGGCTCAGTAATTGTAGGAGCTGGAATTCTGTTCTCTGTAGGGCAGAACTTGTCCACCAGAGGAAGTAACACTGATGCCCCAGCCAAGCCCTGGGGACCCACTTACTATAGAGGAAGTGAAGACACCAGGGCAAGCACATGCCATCCCCGGAGAGAGAGCTGCGCCTCCTTGGCAGTGTCCTCTTATACTCCAGTCTGCCACCCTGACCTGGACCCTGCACCTCTCCAGAGGGAACACCATACTTTCCCTGGCAAACTCCTGCTCAGCTCCCAAGTCCCTGCCTACGCCACCTGTTCTGTGGAGAGCGGTCTCAGCCTCACCATCAGTCCATCATTAACTTTTTACTTCCTGGGTGCTATCAGCATCAAACCAGCTACCAGCCTGTCCCACCCACCAGGCCCAGCTCCCCAAGGGAGAACCATGTTGCCCCACCACAGAAGGTTGAGCTGAAACACTCCAAGTGACTCCTGCACAGTGAGTAGAGCCCCTAGAAAGAGAAAATGGGCCAACAAACAGCATGAGACTCACCACAGCCCGGGATTCTTTGGGTTCTTCAGACGAGACTTCTCCAAAATGGCCCGTGCTCGGGTCAGCTGCCCAATCTTCTCCTCCAGCCGGGAAAGCAAGAGCCACAGGGGCGTGGAGTGGGGGCACTTCTTTAGCTGCAGCCAACAAGCCAAGAGAGGAGCTCAGGTAGTGTCCAGGAGCAACACTTCCACAGCTGGCTCCACCTGAGCTCATCTCCAACCTTGAGACCACAGAGATGTGCACTTTATGCTCTGCACATGGTGTTTTCAGATCTGGTTGTGTCTTATACACACAAATACAGGTGTGTGTGGGGGTAACATGTATGGTTGTGCTGTGCACACATCCACCTTCTAGTATGCCACATTCCACATGTCCCATACCCCATACATTCCATCTGGGCACAGGCATGTAATGGTAGAAGGAAAAAGCACAGGATTCAGGGAAGGAACCAGGCTTCAGTCCAGAGCCCACAGTTCTATTAGCTGGGACTGAGCAAGTCCCTGCCCTCCAACTCTCCTTAGACCCAGGAGGCAATGACCACGGTACCGCCTGGCTCCAGGAGGGAGGTCGGCTACGGCCCAGGGTACTCAGAGACTCACTCCCTGGTTGTAGGCTTCTCGAGCCTTCTCCATCAGCTCTCCCTGCTCCTCAATCTGCCCTTTCATCATCCACAGCTTGGGGAAGTCCTCATAGTGCTTCAGTGCTTCCTCGCACAGCTCCTGGGCAGCTGCAATGTTCCCCAGCACCCACTCCAGCTTCACAGACTTCATGAACACCTGCCGAACAGAGATAGTATCACACAGCAGAGAACTGCGACACCTGCACCTGTCTAGCACCTATGTGACGATGCTTCCTGCCATGACTCATCTTCCACACATCTGTCCTTCTGCATTTGCGTGTGCCTTATAAACTGTCTCATGTACATGAAAGGTGGGGATTAAGAAACGGATGCACTTTAGAGCCCAAAGGCAACAAGACTGGGATGTGGCCTGAGCTCTTCCCCACCTTAGCCTTCCCTGGGTCTGTGTGTGCACACAAGGCACTCCAGAAGCGCCCGCCCCGCCCGCCTGCCACTACGCACACGGGCTGTGGGTGCACTGCTCCGCGCCTTGGCCAGCAGCCTCCGGGCCCGCTCGTACTCATTGTTCTCTGACTCCAGCTTCACAGCCGCCAGCCAGATCTCCTCGCTGTTGGGGTTGGCCTGGAGGGCAAAGCACAGCAGTGTTAGGAGGGGCTCAGAACAAAAGTGACCAGAGCTAGCTCACACTTAATCGAAAGCAGGTGGCCTGGGCACTAAGCCGGGCCTCACTCTGCTTTGGGACTAGTGTGGTCCCAATCCCTCCCCAGGCTAGCAGATGACAGAGCAGACTGCTGGCAGTCCCTTTTCACTGTGGTATAGAGGTGAGGGATTCACAGCTCTTGAGCAACAATGCTGACAGCTGTAAGCCATTTTCTCCAGGAGCCACTCAAACACTACAGAGCCTTCCAAAGCTGGCGGGCGGGTCACTTCTGAACCACATACATGAACCTGCTACAGCCCACTACACTCTTTCCCTCAGCCAGCCACCCTAAAGTGTCCATGTGGGCAGGGAAAAGATGCCTAGGGTGACCCTGATGAAGCTCAAAAACTGGGACTGAGCCCCATGCAGTCCACTGTCCAGTGCACTTGCAAGTGGGGCATCAGCGCTCCTGAGACCTGGCGCCCAGGCAGAGCCTCATCAGTCACACGCAAGACGGCCACATCACGCACCGGTGAAGCAGCTCTAAGGACAGGCAAGAAAAGGCCCCACAGGGATTTCATCATGCAAGAGCACGAGGCAACAGGCAACAAGCACCAGCAGTGAAGGGGGACACTGCTCTGTACAGCACTGTGCTCTGCTCCTGTGTTCTCTCCAGCAGGCAGCTAGGAAACAGCCCAGGTCAGTCCCTCTCGTGGTGTTTACTTGAGAAAAGACAAGCTTTAACTATGTTAGCCTGGGTTGTAATAGCAGCCTGACATTTATACTGTACTCTGTGGCTCATTAAAAAGTATGTGCTGGGTGTGGTGGTGCAAGCTTGTAATCCCAGCACTTGGAAGGCTGAGGCAGGAGGATTGTTGTAAGTTTGAGACCAACCTGGGCTACAAAGTGAGTTCAAGGCCAGCCTGAACTGAATAGTGAGACTGCCTCAAAAAGACCAAAAAGAAAAAAAAAGTATGCTAGTGCCAGGTGTGGTGTATACAACAGTAACCCTAGCACTACGGCAGACTGAGATCCTTCCCAACACAAGCGATACCTTACCCACCTGGAAGGCCAAGGCCAAGATGCTCCTTGCTGCAGGCACGTCCCCTGCCAGCCACTTGGACTTGGCACCCATGAGCCACAGCACCTCTGCCTTGGGGCAGTGGGCCACAGCCCTCTGAAGAAGTGCTTCCAGAGACTCCCTGCAGGATAGAGGCCACAGTCACCCGAGCCAGGCCATAAACCAGAGCACGCAGTCATGGCCAGGATACCGAGAAAGACAGTTACCACTCCAAAGTTCGGCAGGATAAATGATTTACCGAGTTTTACAATGGGGAGAGTGTGGGGAAATCTTTCCTCTCCATAAAGGACCTAAAATCAATGACTGAAGAGGGTTCCACAAAGCAGCACATTGTTTAAACAGCAGTCTTTTACAGTATGTGTCCTGGAGGCAGAGATAACATCAGGTCGGGTGACAGGGAAGGGCTTTTCATCTCAAACCACAGAGGATACCTTGGATCCACAGGTAAAGATAAGGGTCCCTGACAGCTGAAGAAAAATGTCTTATTGGAAAGAGTTGTTTTAGGTATCAGGTGCTAACCCCAGACTCTGAGTGCCCGACTCCCTTTTTATCATGTCATCCTCGCTGCTGACCCCTTTGAGCCTTAGTGTGCGCAGCAAAGCGAAGTCAGCACACAAAACCACACCATAACCAGGCATGGTAGCAGACACCTGTAATCCTAGCAGTCAAGAGGCAGAGGCAGGAGGAGTACCATGACTATGAGGTCTGCCTGGGCTACACAGTGAATTCAAATCCAGCTTCAACTACATAAAGAGCCTGTCTCAAACAAACAAACAAACAAAAAAAACCCCACAACAACACACGGAACAAGGCCTCACAGAGCAGCACCATGCTCCCAAGTCCCAGACCCCAGGACTGCTGCATCCCCTCACTGTCCTGAGAGGACAGGGTAGTAGGATGGAACTGACCACTGAGCCACTGAGTGGCCAGCTGTGCATGCTCAGACCTGGGGCCACAAGGTCTCAGTGCACACCTGGCAGATGTTCCTGCCCTGTTTGGCATTTCCACTGTCCCAAGTGACCCACTAGAGGATGAGCTGTCAGGATCATTTCAAAATGTCTCCATTTCCCCTAAGTTTCCGTTAACTCTGAAACACCAAACCAGCTGGCAGGGCGGAGAGGGAACTGGAGCTTCAGCAGAACACGTGGAAAGAGGTTCTGAAGAAACTGACATTAAACAAAGCCAAGAAAAAAGAAAGAAAAGGAGAAAACAAAAGACAAGAAACAAAACAAGGGCTCAGTGCTTCCAGCTGTGGGTTCAGTGTAAAACAGCGAGGCCTGACCCTACCAAGCACAGAGCAGCTGAGGACCCAAGAGGGGATAGATGGAGGGTGTCCAGAAAGAGGAACCCCAATGCTCTAGAGAGTTACTCATTTAAAACAAGAAACTGCAAGGCCTAATTTAATCAGCATTTACAGCCAATAAGGAAAACCTGCAAAGGTTTTTTCAATTAGAGAGTACAATTAAAGAAAATTGTAATGGACCTCCTCTGTGCATAAAACCCAGTCAAACCAAAAGCAGCACAGCTTAAATGAAAAACAGCTTGCAGGATCCAGATGCTAACTTGCCCACTGCTGAAGCCAGTGTCTACCACCATGTTGGTTCCAGCAGCAAGCTGGCACTCAGCCACTTCTAAAGTCATGGAGCACTTGGTCAGGACAGGTCATCTTCACACCTTTTCTTGAATATAAAAGAGTAATAATCCTACTGCACAAGGGGCTATAAAGACCAATCCAGCTGCAAAGTCCCAAGAAAGGCCATGAAAGCTTCTGCCCTAGTCACAGTCTGTCCCGTCATCACTGAAGGCCAGACCGGATGGAAGCACTCATGGGTCTGCAGGGATGCAAGGGTGAGATCAAACACCCTGCAAATGTGAGTAGGAGATTAAGAAGCACACGGGGCAGGTGGGTCCCCCACATACCTGGTGCCGTGATTTTTCTCAAAGTATGCAGCTCGCAGCCACACACTCTTCTTGCTGGGGAATACTTGCAAGGCATAGGCGTAAATGGCTCGTGCACACTCCAGGGCATTGTGGGCCACGCACTATAGCAGAGAAACAGACATGAGGGGTGGGTCAGTGTGGAGGGAAAGGACTGGTGCCCCACCCAACCTCTAGCAGTTCTCAGTGATGGTACCTGCTAGGAAGGGCACAATGACAGTTGATCTAATCAAAAGTACAACCCAAGACAGGGACGTGAGAGAGGGACCTTAAGTTCAAGGCCATCCTGAGCAACTTAGTGAGATTCTCTCTAAATATAACTTAAAGAATTAGAGGCGGGATGTGGCTCGATAGCGGAATGTGTACCTGGCATGCACAAGGCCCAGGTTGGATCCCTTGTACTGGGGGCGGGGAGGACCACTCCCCTTGGTTTATGTCTCAACTCATTCAAGGGACAAAATGCACATCAGTGTATACAAGGCCAGGACTAAAAATGCCACAAAGATACCAGCTATGGGTCATAATCTCAGACTAAGGAGGAATCTTTAGTCCACCCTGGAGTAAAGGAGGGAGCACACACCAATGAATGGGAAAGGAAAGCTCTCCACTACTTATAATTACTTATAATTCAAGCTAACAAATTACAACACAATAGCATTTAGGAAATCGGTGTTTGGCAAACACCAAAGTAATAACTGATTCTGAGGAAAAATATCACTAACATATTCTCACATTAGTATGTCAAAGTTTGGCAAGAACAAGCAAATTGCCTCCTTGAAAATGCTACTGACCACGAAGGAGAAAACAGTAGGAGCAACCCAGCAGCAGTCACCTCCTAGTCAGCGTAAATAGGTATACGCACCTTCATATGACACAGGGCAAGACACAACGTCCCTACCAAAGACACACACACAGCTTCAGACAGCCATGAGCAAATATCACAGAGATCCAAGTCAAACGGGATGACTGGCCTGGTCAGGAATGGTGGTACATGCCTATAATCTCAGCATTCTAGAAAGCCGAGGCAGGAGGATAGCAAGTTCAAGGTAAGCCTGGTCAACTTGGTGAGACCTTGTCTCAAAATAAAAAATAAAAAGGGCTGGAGATGGAGCTCAGTATGAAGGCCCTTGGTTTAACCTCATTAAGATTCAAAAAACTTTATAAAGAAAGGGTTATGGATATAGCTCAGTGCTAGCATGCACAAGGGCCTGGGTTGTATCCACAAAAAAAACACAAACCAAACCAACCAAACAAAAGCCACAAAGACAGATACTAGAAGATGGCAGAGTGGTGAACAGCAGAGAACCAGCCTCTCCAATATCTGGTATCCACTTCCGGGAAGATGGCAGAATGGTGAGCAGCAGAAAAAGAGCCCCTCCAAGATTTGGTGTCCAGACACTGGAATACAGCAATGCAGGGAAGAGAAGAAGAAGGAAAGTGGGTCACTTGGATCCCGAAAGGATCTGGAGCGACAATTAAAGCCCATGGGGAGAGTGAAAAGAGAAACTTCAACACAGAAGAAGGTGGCAGGCAGTGCTCTGTCCCTGAGCACAGACTCACTACATGGGAGGAGACAGCTGAAACGTGCGGACAGATGATGACTGCTGGCCACCCTAGAGGCCTCCATGGAGAGATGCACCAGAGGAAGGAAGCAGTGGACATGGAAGACTGCAGTGGCTGGTAAAGTGGTCCAGGTTACAGACATCCCCTGGGAAAGGCTGACTGGCCAAAGCCACCTTGGAGAGGAGAGGGACCAGCTGAGCTCTGAACTCAGAACAACTGCTGGCTCCATCTAGGGACCCCCAGCCAAGTTAAGGTCCATAGAATACACACCCACTGCTGCAGGCTGAATGGGTCTGGTTCCAGCCTCATGGCCAGAAACCAGCCTGAACTACAGGGAAATAAAGGTGCAGCATGCTCGGATTATTCACTACCCTGTCATAAACCTACAGCTGGCTTGCTGGGTTTAATCAACACAGATTTTGGGCTGAGGATATAGCTCAGTGGCACAGGTGCCTGGCTGGCAAGTGCAAGGTCCTGAGTTTGATTCCTGGTACCAAAAAAACAAAAAAAACCCCTCACAGATCTTGACTCTGCCCACATTGTCCACCAGTGACAGCAGAGACACACTCTACGAGGGCTGTTTTTTGTTTTGTTTTTTTTTTTGAGAGAGGGTCTCGCTATGTAGTTCAGGCTGTTCCTGAGCTCACTCTGTAGCCCAGGCTGAGGGCTGGGATTACAGGCATGCGCCACCAGGCCCAGCTCTAGTGACACACTTTGAAGTGGACCTTTTTTTCCCCTCTCTCTCTCGTTTTTTTTTTTTTTTTTTTCCTTCATTGCTCATTCTCGTTTTCATATGAGTGTGAACATAGTTTCTAGGTTTTTTTGTTGTTGCTCTGTTCTGCTCTTATTTCTTTCTTTTCCCTTCCTCTGCTGTTTTCTGCATCAGTTTCTGAAAGTTTGCATGATCTTCCTTTGTCTTCCAGACTTGCTTCTAATCTATTCTTATATTTTTATTTTTCCTCTAACCCCTTTTAAATTTTTTCCCTTGAGGGTAAATTGTCATATTGAGGACTTATTTACTGTACATGCATTTCTGACTTGTTTGAAATTTTGTTATATAACCACAAATCTAGTTTCTATGGTTAGAGGTGGCAAATTGATTCTTACCTCAGTCTGTCATTTTCTAGGCTGTGTTTGATGCTATTGTTATTGCTGATTGTACCATGTTAGCAAAAGTGACATGACTGTTCCAACCAGTTGTTCTTCCTGATATGCCAAAATTGAGACTGCCTAAGGTTATAAAAACTACTACAGGCCAGTGCCAAAGAACCATGGACTGGGCCAAACAGGTAGCAACTTCTCATCCCCAATAAATAGAAGTGGTAGGACAATGCAACAGACTCAAAACCAAAAGCGAGCTATACCTGGAAGACATCTCTAAGAAGTAGTCATTCCTAAGGGTTTTAAATACTAGCAATAAAGCTATCTGTCATAAGCAATTTACAAGCATCAGCCAGGAAGTAAACAAGAAAGGAAGGAAGGAAGGAAGGAAGGAAGGAAAGAAAGAAAGAAGGAAGGAAGGAAGAAAGGAAGAAAAGAGAAAGAGAAAAAAAAGAAAAAGAGAAGACACTTAAGCAAGATACAACCCTAGGCCAGATGTGGTGGTGCATGCCTGTAATCCCAGCACTCGGGAGGCTGAGACAGAGGGATCATTCCAAGTTTGAAACCAGCCTGGACTACAAGGTGAGCTCAAGGCCAGCCTGAACTGCATAGTGAGACCCTGTCTCAAAAAGACAAAAAAGAAAAAGAAAATGAAAGATGCAATCCTAGATGTCCAGCTCACCAAAGGCAAACCCAGGGTGCAATGATGTAGAACAATTTAAAAGCTACTGACCTGGACTCTCTGAAGTGGTAACAGCAGAAGTAACAAAGCAGATAAATGAAGGTTTAGAAAAATATCAAATCAGAAATAATCTCTCAGATAACTACAGAGGTGGTGACCATAATGAAAGCATGGTTAGTGACTCTAGAGCAGATACAGATCAAAAAATAGAAAAGCTTAGGAAAATGATGAAGCCATGAATGCCTAATACAGAAAAGAAATGGAATCCATAAAACAAATTCAAACGGTAAAAATTCCACTGAAAATATATGCAGCAAAATGAACCAATGTGAGGAGACAATATCAGATATAGAAGACAGGATGTGGTTAGTGATCACAAAAGGAAAGATTTCTTAAAAATAGCAAGGGATGAGAAATCAATTCAATAGCTGCTAGATGACATAAAAAAGAATAACATAAGATTGATCAGAGTCAATGAAAAAGCAGAAGATAGCCCAGATAACATAAAACACCCATTCAGAGACATCACAGAAGAAAACTTGCCTAGTAGGGAAAAACAATTTGACATACAGGTAAGTGAGGCATGTAAAATTCCAATTAGCCATGATTTAAAGAAAAAACAAAAAACAAGCAAACCAACAAAAAACTACACCGAAGCATGTAATAGTCAAGATTTCAAAAATTCAAAACAAGAACAGAATATTAAAAGCTGTTAGATACTCTGGTTTCTCTTCAGATCATATAATTTTTTTGCCTTTTAAAAGCCGTTAGAGAAAAGAAGCAAGTCACCTATAAGCCCATCAGAATCACAGCTGATTTCTCAACACAAACTCTCCAATCAAGAAGAGTTTGGAATGAAATACTTCACACTATAAAAGAAAACCACCTCCAACCTAGACTGATGTACCTCCACAAAACTATCATTTTTCTTTGCTTTTGGCTTTTGAGACAAGGGTCTCAATAATATAAAATGAACTCCTTATGTAGCCCAGGCTGACCCCTAATTCACAGCGACTCTCCTGCCTCAGGCTTCTAAATGCTGGTATTACAGGCATGCACCACCACACCCAGAAGTAAAACTACCTCCCAAGACAAAGCCTGAAGAAATTCATGACCACCAAACCAGTACTCCAATATATTTTCAATGATATTCTAAAAAGAAATAAGACTACTATTTCATGAACCCCAATAGAATGAATCCACAGGCAAGGCAAGCAGTTAAACAGAGAGAGAACCAACAACAGGAAAATTAAGGATAAGTCAATACGTATCAGTTATAACCATCAATGTAAATGATTCAATTCACCAATGAAAAGCAACAGACTCACAGAATGGATCAAGAAGCAAGATCCAAAAAAAAAAAAAAAGAAGCAAGATCCAAAAATATGCTGCATACAAGGAACACATTTAATTCAGAAAGAAATGAACAGACAGTCAAAGGATGGAAAATAATATTCCAACAGGAACCTTAAAAAGCAAGGTTAGCTATTCTATTTGCAGACAAAGAGGATGTCAAGCCAAAACTGAGGAAGAGCCAGGTGTGATGGCAAATACGTATAATCCTAGTACTCAGGAGGCTTAGGTAGGAAAATCACAGTGAGTTTGAGGCCAGCCTGGGCTACATAGAGTTCAGGTCCAGCCTTAACTACAAAGCAAGACCTTGCCTCAAAAGTCCACCAAAAAAAAAGCAATCATAAATATATATGCAACAAATACCAGCATACTTAACTATATAAAACAAATACTAACAGACATGAAAAATCAAATAAGCACT